GGGCGGGCCGGCGGGGCGCGGGGCGGGCGCGGGGCGCTGCCGTGGCTCCGCCGTGGCCCCGCGGGGAGCGCGGCCCGGGCCCGGCGCTGACCGCGTTCCGCCCCGCCGGACAGGCAGAGCCGCGCCGCACGGCGAGTTCTGGGACCTGGTCGCCATCACCGCCGCCGACGCGGAGCAGGAGCGGGCGTTCCGGCGGCAGCTGGCCGCCAAGCTGCGGGGCGGGGAGCTGCCGCTGGGCGTGCGGTACCACGTCTTCGTGGATCCCCCGGGACACAAAATCGGTGCGTGCCCCGCCCGCAGCTGCGGAGCGGGCGGATCTGTGCGGGACGGAGGGCGTCAGGCTGCGGGCTGCAGGGCTGCGCTGCAGCCGCTGTGATGTTACCCTCAGCTGGGGCCTCATCTGGCCCTTCGGGGTTCTGTACTCGTGTAGTGCACCCATGTAATCGTACTCGTTTTGAGTCACACCGAAGTCAGCTTTGTGTGTGACCACTACGACAGCTCTCTTGCAATGGAGAGGCTTCAAAATTCTGCTCAAAAAAATGTCCTTTGCAGTACAGATGTTGGCTCTAATGCTGTTACGTAGCATGTCGTTGTCATTCCTGGCACAGCATGGCAGGTTGGTGCTTCTCAGACTTCATGTAAGGTGATTTTTGCAGTGAAAATTTCCATTCTGATAACTGGGACGATGTTGTTGCGGGAGGAAAGATTTAGGTTGGACGCCAGGGGGAAGTTCTTTATAGAGAGAGTGGTGAGGTGCTGGAACAGCTGCCCAGAGAGGCTGTGGATGCCCCGTCCATCCCTGGAAGTGTTCAAGGCCAGGTTGGATGGGGCCCTGGGCAGCCTGGGCTGCTATTAGATGTGGAGGTTGGTGGCCCTGCCTGTGGCGATGGGTTGGAGCTTCATCATCCCTGGGGTCTCTTCCAACCCAGGCCATTCTGTGATTCTGTGGGACACCATCCTGGTGGTCTGTGGGTGCACATTGCTCATACAGTATGGCTCTCTTCTAAATTCCCAGTGTGGAATACGACTGACCCGTGGTTGTTCTGAGCTTTGAGCTGGTAGTTTACACTGATATATTTCAATACATTAAACAGCGTGCAACAAAAACTTGGAAGAAAGTTGTCTGCCATACCATCCTAAGCTCATATAGCTGTTCTCTTGGATGTAGAAGGTAACCAATCTCAGCAGTCTGTCTGCGGTATAAAATAATGGGCACAGGTTAACTTTCAGAAATTTTGCTGTTTCAGAGGCACGTAAGAATATCCAGAAGTTTTTCATTTTTTCCTTCTGAAAGGGTGATTGAAGTCAGCGGTGAAGCTGCGCGATGTTTCTTACAGGAGCTGTCGCTTAGGGCTGACTTGGGTCAGTTGGAAAGCATTGGATGGTGGGGCTGTTCTGAGCAGAACCGTCCTGCCCAGCCGAGGTGTCCTTTGCTTTGGCTGTGCATCCTCACTGCGTGACTCTGTCAGCTGCAGTGCTCTAGGAAGGCTGTTCTGTCAGAACTGAGGAAATTTCAGATAGCTGTCAGTGCATCTGCAGACACTCTGTTAAAAAAACAACAAAGCTCTACCTTTTAAAAATAAGTGACAGCTCATTTTCTACAGCAGAAAAAAAACACATTTAATAAACATTGCCAGGTCTCAGCGTGCTTCACGTTTCAGTGCACGTTTTATTGGTGCTCTTTATAATAAAATGCTTTTCTCTTTAGGAAATGGTGGATCAACACTTCATGTTCTTCAGTGCCTGGAAGATCTCTATGGTGATAAATGGACTTCTTTTATCGTGCTGCTAATTCATTCTGGTAAGTTCTGTTTTACATTCCACACTTCAAAATGTTACCTTTAAAAAACAGACAAACAAAAAAATGATGTTGGTAGATAAAGAATTAGAATTCTGAAACACAGTTCTCTTAGAAAAGTTACCTCGAGTGTAGCTGAAATGAATTCATTTGAATTTCCACTGGAACTTCTGGAGATGCTGCTGTCACTTAAGCATTTCAGCACTTCAGAATTAAGCCCTGAAATGCCCACTTAAGCAGTCTCTTCCTCCCTGTAGGCTGCATAGGGGACTACGAGGTCTTGTAAATACAGAACAAATGTTTGCTGCCTTACCCAATTTGTCAAAACCCTTCCAAAATGTGATAGCTGGAAAACTGTATCCACTTTGCAGAGAAGAAAGAAACCAGGTCAAAGAATTCTAGAATGTCTCGGGTTGGAAGAGACCTTACAGATCATCCAGTTCCACTCTGCTGAGGGCAGGGTTGCCATCCACTAAATAAGAGGTCACCTTTCTGCTAGTTTGACTCACCCCTCACTTAAAATTGCTTTGGGATGTTTTTTCTTTCTCCCTTAGTTTTCAGGCAAACAGCTGGAGTCATTTATTTTCTGTATTTATAGACCAGTTGTTTGTACTCCAGCCCTGAATCAAAACTAAAGGTAACGAAATCAAGCACAGATTTAATAAAAGCTGTTTAAGGCATCCTGAATTTTGGACATTAGGTCAGATCTGTCTCAGGAAATATTTGAAGGCGTATAATAATTTTTTTTAAATCTGACTTTTTTGAGGAACGCTTGGCATAGGACCAACTACGTAGCCTTGTGGTCCCTAAGGAAGTGTGCTCTGTGTAATTTAAGATGTCTTTTTCTTCAGGTGGTTACAGTCAGCGTTTACCAAATGCAAGTGCACTGGGCAAGATTTTCACAGCCTTGCCTTTCGGCGATCCTGTTTACCAAATGCTGGAGCTGAAGCTCGCCATGTACATTGATTTCCCTAGTCACATGAAACCAGGAATTCTCATTACTTGTTCAGATGACATAGAGCTGTACAGCACTGGCCTTGCAGAAACGATCACATTTGATAAGCCTGGATTTACTGCTTTGGCTCACCCTTCAGATTTGACAGTTGGGACCACTCACGGAGTGTTTGTTTTAGATCCATCCAGTCTCTCAGGAAAAGGAGGACTTGAATACACTTCTTGCCATCGTTTCTTGCACAAACCAGACGTGGAGACCATGCGCCGGTGCGGTGCAGTCTGTGTAAGAAGGAATTCTTCTCAGCTGGATTCCTTTGCAGATCACAGTGACTCGGAGGTGGACTCGGAGTGCGTGTATACAGACAGCATATTTTACATTGATCACAGCACTGCAGAACAATTACTGGCATTCTATAAGCAAATTGATACTCTGTGCTGTGAAATAGATGCGTATGGTGACTTCCTGCAGGCCCTGGGACCTGGAACCACTCAAGATTACACAAAAAATACAAGCAAAGTCACAAAAGAGGAATCACAGCTAGCAGAAGTTCGGCAGAAGCTCTGTTCTCTTCTGAAAGGAACTTCACTTAATGTTATAGTCTTAAACAACTCTAAGTTCTATCACATTGGAACTACTCAAGAGTATTTGTTTCATTTTACATCTGATAGCAAACTGAAATTTGAGCTTAACTTACTGCCTGAGGCTTCTAGCATCTCTTCTGACAAGGCTGAGACATTGGGTGGATCAGCAAGCATCATTCAAAGCATACTTGAGCCTGGGTGTTTCGTAGGACCTGGATCCATTATTGAATACTCCAGAATTGGACCTGGAGTGTTGGTAGGGAAGAACTGCATTATTAGTGGATCCTGCATAAATTTGGAAGCAGACATACCTTCGAACTGTTTTCTGAGTTCGTTGAGTGTAAAAATTGATGATCAGGTGAAGTATGTAAGTATGGTGTTTAGTGTAGAAGATGACTTGAAAAAGAATGTGGAATTGCTGTCAGAGACGAATTCACTACGGTTTTTTGGAGTCAGCCTACAAGAATGCTTGGAGCTCTGGGGTGTGCAGGTTTCAGACCAGCTCTTCTCTGGTGATAACACACGGTTTGGGTTGTGGACTGCTAGGATTTTTCCTGTTTGTTCCAGTTTAAGTGAGTCGGTTAGGATGTCACTGAACATGTTAAATTCTGTGCAGCGTGTGTCAGCTTTTACACTGAATGGCTTTAAGCTCCTGTCTGTTCAAGAAATGCTTGCCTACAAAGATGTAGAAGACATGCTGAAATTTAGAAATCAAATTCGTGATGAAATTTGTCTAAAAAGACAAAAAGAGAAATCTGATTTGTAGAAGGACTGGGGCTTGAACAAATGTCCTGTCTTTAATTTGTCTGCAATTTGTGGATGATTTATTACTTGCCAGTTTGTAATGATTGTAAGCAAAATGTACAGTGGATTTTTTTCAGAGTTCCTTCTAAGCAAAAGCATAAAAAGAAGGAGTGGAGTTCTGGTCATAGTCTTAGACTGTCATGTCTGGCACATGGGTCAGCAGGCCAGCGCTCCAGCAAGCACACAAGAAAATAAAAATATATTGGTGTATTTCTCACTCAGAATTCCTTTTGGGAGTGATGCTGTCCTGCTCAGGTGTGCTGGACCGACTGCAGGCTGGACAGGTAAGAGGTGGCTGCTTCTGCTCACACTCCTGCACCAAGTGTGCCCTCTGAGGTGTGCTCACCGTTGTTCTCATAATGGAGCAGGTGTAGGTTTGATTTGCTAGGTAAGAAACATTAAACTGCTTTAAGTTTTTATGCTACTCCATGTTTCCCTTCTACAATAAATATTCTTATCTGGAATTCTAGAAATCAGGTTTTGGTCAATGTGAGCCATCAGCAATGTCAGCAGTCTGAATGAATTTATTCCACAGATATCAAAATATCTGGATTTGTGTTGTTTTTCATCTTTAAAATAAAATCAGGTTTTGTGCCATATATGTGAAAAACCTTAACATCAATATTTTGATCCAGAGCCCTGCTAACAAATGTGCTTTTGTATATGTCCATGTTCACATGCATGTTCTGTAATTTCATTCTTGGATTCTGCACTTATTCATAAGCACTTCTATGTGTAAGCTTCCACTTGTTTCCAGTGAGCCACAGAAACTGCGCGTGTTCTCATTAACTGTTGGTGTACCCATAACCTTTTCTTACTATCAGTAAAATGGTGGTGATTTGCAGACAGTAGGGGAAATGTTCTAACAGGTAGAGAAAATGGACCATGCCATGAGAGTGGCAGTGTGTGATAGTGCTCCCATTAAACACCCCGCCAGTAAGAGGGAAGGCTCTGCACTCACCAGTCTGACCTTCTGCAGACCATTACTGCAGCTCACTGATTTTGTTGGGCGCTGGGTGAGCAGTGCAGCAGGCAGAGAAAGCATGGGAGCTGCAGAACACAAAAGGCTGTTCAGCCTATGGAGGATGTGATGTCACTTCTGAGTTAATCAGTATTTGTGTTGAGAGGAGATAACAGACAAGCCGGGATTTCTGTCAATCCTTCGTGACACATCTGAAAAATTATCTGGTCTGTTTCTTTAGGCGGGAGATAATTGTTTGCTTTATGTGTTCCAGCTGCTTAACTGGTGTGCTTGTTTTTAGCTGTAACAAATTCTTGTCCTTAAAGCAAGGGCTATCTTATAATGTGATGACATCTTACAGGACTTCAAACCGGGCAGTTCCAGGCAGTAATAATCAAAGCTTGATGTACAGACTATTTTACTTATACAGCACTTTACAAAGCTTAGCTTCTTTCTCACTGCTCAACTGCTAAAGCAAGAGAGAAGTTTGTTCTCATTCAACCAGCTGGAATTGTCCCACTGCAATTGAGAGACTTATCCAAGGCCACACAGCAACATTTAACAGTCAGGTAATTGCAGTTTTGGTGTTTCTGGTTTCTAGTATCAGATCTCAGAACAAGACTGCTGAGGCATCTTGCTTGTGATCATCCTGTGGTCTGAGCAATGCAGGGTGCAGTGCTGCAAGTGGCAGACAGGGCTTCCTAAGAACAGGAGGCGTCTGTTGAAACTTGGAGCTTGATTTTGATAAAGACTCACTGAGTTTCCAGGTGGATGCAGAATTTGTGTGGGCCCTCAGGTCCTGCCTGTCTCCATCCATCCTGAAGCGCAACTCTGACAGATGTGGTCTCAAATATGAATGTTGAATGATTTTGTTCATGTCGGCTTTCATTATTTAATTAGTTTTGCTCTGTTGTGTAATAATAGGGCTCATAATGAACATGATCTTAATGATTTCACGGGCTGCTTTGAGAGCATGTAATAGTGGGCAGAGCTTTAGCCGTTCTGTATGTATTACATTATGGAATTTGGGAGAAGAGAATTAGTTCAGTAATGTTTTAGGCAGGAAATTGAAATGTGAGCAATTGGGCACTTAGAAAAGAACACAGGGTAAGGCAGCTGAAATTAGTTTAAGGGAAAGAAAAAAAAAAGGAAAAAAAAAAAAAAAAAAGGAGGAGCTAAGATATACCCATGCCAGAAGGATTTGGGGAACCAAGGTAAGCACGTTCCATCTTTTGGGTTGCCTTGGCTTGGATGAGGAGTTTGTGCTGCTCAGCATTTCCAGCTTCATGTTCCTCAATCTGATGCAACAGATTCCTTTTTTCCTCTCTGCGCATGTGGAAGATTAATCCCTGTGCAAATGCCACCGTAGTTCTGCGATCACAGAAATAGCAGTGCTGTGCTGTACGGCCCCTGATCCACTGCCACCCAGGAGACGTGAGCACCTGCTTTGTTACGTGGGCTGTTGGCTTCCTACTGCTTCAGTCTTATCATGATGTATTTTAATGCCCTGTTCACATGACGTACCTGAGTGTTACCGAAAGTTGTATAGCTTAATATTACATCTCTAATTACATCTGAATACTCTCTGAGAAAATACTGCTCTTGACATTTCAGTGCTGCTTGGACGTACGTTACTTAGAAATGGTCTAACCCTGCTATTGGTGCAGTTCTCCCTCTGGTGTTTGTTTGTAAACAGGCTGGGCTGTTATTAATTTTTCCCCTGGATGCAGGTATCCTCGCACAGCCCCGGGCCAGCCTCCAAGCTCTTCTGGAGCTGCTCTGAGAGCACAGGTGATGAAGAACAGGCAGGTCTGTCCTTTTTTTTTTAAGAGCCAAAGGGAAAATCCCGAAGGGACGGATCACGGAATGCTCAGAAGGCTCCATGTGTCACCAAGTTCCTAGCCCAGGCAGTGGAGGGAGGCACCTGGCCAAGCATCCTGCAGGCTCATGGGCTGGGAGGTGACCAGAAGTTTGCTCCTGGGCTGCACGGCCACAGCTGCCCTCAGGAGAGGGAAGAAAATCTGTACTAAGGTAACAAAAGCAATGGCAGAGCGGGTACCCATAGGGTGCTGTTTTTACAGCTCTCCTCGTTGCTTGGCAACTGGACGTGGAGGATCAGTTCAGAAGCTGATGCATTTTGCAAATATTTGGTCGCGTATCACAGGGCATCTTGTCAGCAGTTCAAAGTCTTCCAAAATACATCCTTGGTTTTATGTGGAAATCAGTGCAAATAAATGGATGAGCTCACAGTGTGCCAGGAGCCATCATGGGAGTTCAAGTTTGTTTGTGGTGGGAGGCAGCTTGCTAGAGATTCGATGCGTCTGTATTATATTTACATATCTTCTTGCCTGAAATCCTCAACTGAGAAGACTAAACAGAACAACTGTCAAGGTCAATCAGCAGGCTTTAAGTGTGTGTATATATGTGTGTGTGTGTGTGTGTGTGTACATATCAAGATACGCTTATAAAGTAAATTTTAAAAAGCAATCAAAGAAGAAAGAGATACAGAAAAGAGCAGAAATCCCAAAATGGGATGGGAAAATGAGTTTGAAGTCTTCCTGTTTGAAGGGAAATGGATATGAAAGGGGCAGGCAGCAGATGGGCAGATCTCTGCTAGCCAGATTAAAGGAGGTTTGGATTATGCGAGTGGAAGGCAGCACTATTTTGCTATTGACCAATTTTCTTGCACGGCTCTTAAGCAGAGGCTCTAAGAGGAATCATCCATGCACACAGTCTCAATTTATTATGACATGGTTCCTTTGCTTGTATATGTGAGCACAAAGCCCAGTAGCCCACTTTGGTCTCTTCAGCCTTCAATCTACTTGGACCATGGGTTTTTTTAATGCATTTCTGTGATGCTGGGTCCTGACTAAAATGCTAACAGGGAGGTCAGCATGTACATATCCATACAGATCTGGCCCTTTGTTGATTTGTGCACAGTCTGCTTGAAATGTGAGCAAAGCAGCTCGGACATCCTCTGCCTGGGGGAAAACTCCAGCTGGAGCAGGGCTGGAGCATCACAAAGAGCCCGGGTGTTCTCTGGTATGACACAATGTGTACATTATAATTAAAATACTCAGATGCTCCAAAACCATCCTGTGTGCTACAACTGGTGTTGACGTTATCAGTTGAGGTCTTCTCTGGCCTCTTCAAAGCAAGGACCTTCAGCGCTCCTTGGGGATCCTGAAAGGCTGTTTGGGATTCAGCCTCACCAGTGCCTTTCTCTGTACAAGATTGGTAGCCAGCTGCCAGATTGCCTCCTCTCCACCAGTTTCACGTATGCAACAGATGAGAGCAAACATTTCTATTGAAACAGACAGTAGATTTTTAAAGAGGCTGGTGAGGTACCTGCATTATTCTTTCACACTCGGCAGCACATGCTGTTGTGCTCCATGCCATTGTTGCATGACATTCCGTTTGGCACAGGGTTTATTTTTAGCCAGAGACTATCAGAGTGTTTTTCAGCAGGACCGTCTCTGCTCCTGAGCAAGGAATCATATTACTGCAAGAACTTTGCTGAAACAAAGAAGATATATTGAACAAATGGGGAATTACAAATCTAGACCAACCCAAACCTGCACTGGTAATTAACGTTGTTGTGATTTTTTAAAGCTGCAGTGTGCCTTACCTCCATCTGCAAGAAGCAAATGATATTTCAGGGAATAACTCATCGCAAATTTACCCTTGAGTTCAAGGGTAAGGTATTGTATTGTTCTTAGCTTACAATAATAGCAGCTTAGTCCATATCTGTCTGTTAAAAGCAAAACAAAGGAAATTAAATTTATTGCACTGCCATGTAACATTATATTATTTTACATTATTGTGTTAATTCTTGTTTCATTAGAAAAACCTTAAAACTCTAATCTGTCTGTGCTGTGAATACATGCTAAGATTTAGGAAATAAGAACTAACAAATGAAACCTATGGTTGAAGTTTTCTCTTTTCAGGTTAAAAATACTCCTGACAAGGATTTGTATGTACTAGCAATCTACAAAATCAGTATGTGTGTGCCTGTGTTGGCTGCAGCAAGAATGGATTAATGGCTGTAATGTTTTAATTAAGCTTTCATGCTTCAGTAGAGAAGCACAGGAATAGTGTGGAACTGTGTTTAGAAATACAGTGCTCTGTTAGTGGAACACCACAGTTTGAGTCCCTGCTTTCCGCGTGTTTTGAAGTGTTTCTGTTTTGTTGCTGACAGATGAATGGAAGAAGAAAGTCAGTGAATCGTATGCTATAATCATAGAGCGATTAGAAGATGACCTGCAAATCAAAGACAAGGAGCTGGCAGAACTGAAGCATGTTTTTAGGTAAAATACTCAGGAAATCTGCTTATGAATGCCTAGTGGAGGAGTATCTGCTATTAAGCAGCATTTTCAGTTTCAATTGTTTTCCTACAGAAGGAATTTCACACCTATGGAATGCCTGTTCTTTAGTGTCTATTTTTGGGATACGCGGGTCAGAGTCACACAGCACAGTACCAAAATTAGTGGCTATTAGTTACTAATGCCAATATTTTAGAGCAAATGTCTATATTCTTTTGCAAACAAATTAGCTTTAATGGTACATCCAAGTTTATAACATGCTTAAGTTTTGCTGTGTGCTTCTTTAGACGGGAGTTTTTTCTGAAGTAATACATTTTAAAGGAACACACAAACAGAGCATCTTTGTGAAAGTGAACCCCAAATCCCTGCCTGCAGCCGCCTTCTCAGGACAGCACTGACACTCACAGCCGTGTCCCCCCAGCCGGGTGGCACTCTTACATCTTCACCATCCAGAAAGCTCATAGGACCATAGAATTGCTCAGGCTGGGAAAGACCTGAAAGATCATCAAGTTCAACTACAGCCCAAGCATACTAACCTAACTGTAGGCAAATTTAAGGAGACGAGCAGTTAAATAATGTCAGACATCAAAGTCACTTGGAAAAAAAAAAAAAAAAGATGCTTTCAAAATAAATCACAAATTCACAACCTGAAATGACAATGCATTCAATGCTAAACTGTCAAAGGCAACATATAATCCTTGAGAAAGTTACAGCTGCACATGCAAGGTTTAAAAGGGCAACGACCAGCAGTGTTTGTGCTTCTGTAGAGTTCTCACGTTCGTGTTTCGGCGTAATGATTTCATTGTGTTTCTTTGGCATGTTTTCAGGAACACAGACCTACCTTCTGAAGGCCTCCTAGGTGTTCTTCTGACTTACCTTAATTGCCACCGGTTCTGTGCTTATGTCCTGTTCATCAGCGTAGAATGAATACTTGTTTGTAGTTTTTAATTTTTAAATCAGTGAACAAAGTGTCCTTTTTTTTTTTTTAATTATAAAAAGTCTTATCTATAAGGAGAGTTTTCTGCTCTTTCTTTTCCTCTATTTTATTTCCTCCAGAATTTGGAAGGCATGCACTGAGTAGCAGGATGGCGCTGGTAGCAGGGTGTTCAGAGAGCAATTCAACTTAGGCTCAGCTTTAATTTACTGAAAGATAAATCTGGATCCTCACTTGTTGTCAGTAAAGCATTTCTAGGTTTACAGAGTGCAAACTGCATCTAAATTTAGCTCTGTGTCTACAAAAGCTTCAATTGAGATTTCTCTTTTAAATGTTTTCCAAATGAAATAAATTCTATCAAAGGATGAAAACAGTAATCCTCTGAAAAATCTCTCTTCAGCTCTGATGAAGCCTTCTGCAAAGTCAATTTAAATTACCGCACAGATAATGGGCTCTCTCTTCTTCACTTATGCTGCATATGTGAGGGTAGGTATTTTAAGCATCTTATTTACACGGTTAGTATTTGTCTCTAATGACTGTCAGGAGGATTTTATTTTCGATTTCTTAGTTTTGCCCTCACTGGCACTTGGATAATTACCTGTAAGCTTTACCCTCAACCCTGTTTGCCAACAAGACCAAAGCAACTTATGCTGAACAACATTACAACTGAGTCATCAATCCACGAGAAGTTGTGGCTGATAATTTGTCGTGTCTTTATTACAAATGTTCAATTAATTCATCTTAATTGCTACATGCATTAATTCATTACTCTTTACTCATTGTGTAGTACTTTTATACAGTTATGTGTCTTGTACTTGCTATGAATTTCAGGATATGGAGCTAGTCTGAATGTATTTGTCATCCATAAAGCAGGCATTTTTCTGGTACGGTGGAAACACCTGTATTGTTTATCACAGTAGTTAAAAGAGTAAGTCAAATGCTCTAGTCAGAAAATACAGGTTGATAGGATTTTTGCAGACAGCAAATCACAGTATGCAAGAAAAGACTTCAGGGTGACTTCTGGAATGTTCCTAAAATCATACTAATGGTGCAGTTCTCCACTCTGATCCACACTGCTGCTTGGTTATCCACATGGCCAGTCATTAGTTCATGCGCATGTGGCACCTGTTCCATTTGTTGAGACAAAGAATTTGCCATAAGGTTTCAGCTCCACAAAGTATGCAACAATGATACACAGATATGATTTGGTCAGTCTTAGATCAAGGAGGACCTGATCTTGCACTGCTGGAAAGAAAAAGGATCTTTAAACTTGATTTCAGAGCGTGCAAGTTCATATTAAAGACAACACCAGTATTTGGTGACGTCAGAGCAATTGATGGAATTCATGAAAGGAAGCTAAAGAAAATACACAGTATTGATTCATTACAATATGTGAACACTTCAGGGATGAAGACAAGTCATTAGACTCAGCACTGCCCTCAAACACTGCCATGGTTATTCAGAAGGAGGTGTATTTTTGAGACCATCACTACATCAGAAAGATAGAAATGAAGTTACTTGGTCATCAGCATCCCTCAAAACCACTATCCCTGTAATAATGTTGCTGCATTTCTGAAAGGAGAAAAGAATTCTGTGGCTGAGAAACCAGTGCTCCAGGAAGCATCTGTTAATTTATGCAGTTCTTTGCAGCACAGTCTGGAAGTTAAAAGAGAATTCTGCTTCTTTAGAAGTTTGACCCTGTTTAACCAACCCTTGTTGAATTATGAACATAAGGCTGTATGTGGCCAGGTCTGCTGCTGTCAGTGGGTAAGGAAATGGCACCTAATTTCATTCTGAAGGTGCAATATTTCCTGAACGTATTTCTGCCATCAAACTCACACTGACATTTATTCCTATGCGTGGCTTTTTGTTGTGGTGTGTGTGTAAATGACTCCGATTCCCAACTTTCCCTTTAAAGGTAACAAATCACATATAAGAACTCTTATGCTAAAAGGACTGCGCCCATCCAGATTAACAAGAAATGGATTTACTGCTCTGCACTTGGCAGCTTATAAGGTAAATTATTTTGCATGAAGTGATGACAGGGAATCAGAAGAGATTAGCTTTAGTTGTCTGCCCTCTTCAGCTGAACTCTCTAGTTGCTACTTCCAGTGAAAATATCAATTTTACATTTACAGTGTGCAGGAAAATTACCTACAGAGAGCACGTGCATGGGAAATCAGCATATGCTTTTGCATTGTCATCCATGAGGATATGATGTTGCTTTAGAAATACTGATTAAATTATGCAGTGCATCTTAGGATAGAGGAGCATTCTTTTTTACTGTTATTGCTGTTATTTGTGCAAAGAAGACACCAAATTCCCACTGTAGCAATGTCTTACATATTGCTAAGAGCGTTAGGAATGGAAAGAAAGAAGAGATGTGAGCAGCAGCATTTGGAATTTTGTCTGAATGTAGGAGGAAAGACAGTATCATATTTATTTTCAATATATGGAAGGGCCAGCTTTGTTTGTTACTGCAGAAATAAGATGCTTTATGTACACACTCCATAGGACAACGCAGAACTCATAACAGCGCTGCTGCACGGCGGAGCTGACGTTCAGCAGGTTGGATATGGAGCCCTGACAGCCCTTCACATTGCCACCATAGCTGGGCATCACCAGGTGAGTTTCCCCTTTTCTCTATGGGAAATGATACGTGAGTGCAGCATCTCTGGCTACCCTGTAGCAAAAGCAATCCTGGGGAGATCGTTATGTTTCAGGAGGTCACTACACGTAGTTTCACTGATGAAACTACGTGTTTCATCAGTGGCCTGCTTCAACTGAATGGACGGTACAAAAGCTTATTGTGGTCTCACATCTGTCCTCATGTCTTCCATGATAGTGCGTATGTATTGGCAGTCACATGGAAAGAAATGTATTTCAATCTAAACTGAGTAAAGAAATAATCCCTGAACACTAATTGTTGCTTAGTAACAGGCTCTAGTTGTCTGAGTTCTGGTCTGACATGGATTTAACTGACTGGCTGAATTGCTGCCTGTATGAAATGAATCAATAGCCTTAACTTTGACAGCAGTTGTGCATCATCGTAGCTGGGGTTAATTGGCGTCACCAGGGGAAATCTCAGTGGGAGGTTCGGGAGTGCAGAGCACAGCACCAAGATGGCTACTTCCCCTTCTTTGTGACTTCTGCAGATTGCCAGGGAACTGTTTCCCTGCAGGTGACTCACAGTCCAATACCTTTCATCATCATTAGAAAATTTCAAGAAGTTTCATCAGAACGAAACGTAGAACTGCCCATGTAACCCAGTTGCCAGCACTCAGCGTGCGTGGGCTCCTTTGTGCTTCAAGGAAACAAAAAAAAGATTAGCAGTTCTGCAGGCTTCAGAAAATAATCCAAAGCAGCTTCATTCAGTCTTGCATTCTGCAAGTTATTCAGATAGCCCATGTTTGGTAATTACTGGCTGCTAGTGACAGCAATGGCCTCCTGAAAGTCCAAAACCAGCTGCTGATTTGAAAGAAACACTTATGGTTATTTATTGATGCCACAGGCTTATTACCTTCTAGAACACAAAGAAATTTGTACACAATGAGTTAACTGTGCTGAGGATTGGCCTAATTTAAAAGGATTTTGTATTTTGTTTTATTTACTTCTGAAAACTCTGACGAGTTTACGGCTCTTTGTTCAGGACTAAAATAAAATTAAAGGACAGACTCATTTTTATGCCTCCTATTTTGTAAATCCGGCTTTTTACTTGCAAACACGTCTTCAGCCTGATTTATAAAGCATCGGTGACATTCAATGTTCAGTTAGTTTAAGTTTGTCACTTTTACACGTTGCATTTTTACATTAGTTCCTCACCTGTGTAGGCTTAGGGCTTTTTGTTTCTATTAAACTGGCAATATAATGTTTTGAAATCTTGTTTTACTGTCTGACTCCATTTGTGTGGTGCTTCTAATAGGAATTTTCTCTGTATTCTTCTAGGCTGTGGATATTCTTTTGCAGCATGGAGCTTATGTGAATGTTCAGGATGCGGTTTTCTTCACCCCGTTGCACATTGCTGCATATTATGGCCATGAACAGGTAACACGGCCGGGAGATTTCAGTGAGTAGGTCTATTCTTACATATTTGCATTACAATTCAGGGGGATCTACTGTGAAAGGCTTTCATACACTGAAGTCAGTTTCTGGTTGCCCTAAGTCTGAATTTTAACAGGAAATATCTGACTCAATCCTCTATGCTGGATCCTAGAACAAATGGGTGTCTTCCCTTCTAACCCTCCCTTCTAGCCCTCTTGATACAAGTAATTTTCTAGCCAGATTTGATGATTTGCAAACAGGCTTGGATTAAGAGCTTTACTTCATTTATTGCTTATTTTATCCCATATTCCAGAGACTGTGCTAAGAGTGTACTGTCTTAAGTCTCTGCAAGGAGGTGAACATCACATGCCAGTAATAATTAAATGTAATTTCTGCCGTTTTGTTGGAATTCACAAATTAAGTTGTGGCCACTTATGTTCACAGAAAAAAATATGGCTTAGAGAGCAGATTTTGCTTGAGATGCTGTGCATACAACAAGTCCAGGTGCACTTGTTTCACTCACACATTCACTCACACAGGTCACACATTCACTGAAACGTAATCTCAAACCCTGACCAAAGCAGGCACTGAATCTTCTAATTTTTTTTTTTTCCCCATAAAATTATGCATGTAGTTAATGTAGCAATCCTTTCAGTTGCCCTGAACAGTCCTTTTGTGTAAAATATAATAATGAGTCTGTTCTGGATAACTAAGTAATTCTCTACACCTCTCTTTAGCTAAAATAATGTATTCTGGGCAGTTTTCATGTTTCAAAGGATGAACTCTGGATAGAATGTATTTTTCAGTTCAGTGATGTGTTTCTTGGAGAGCACTGGGACTTGAGGAAAAGCTTTCAAAAGAACAGAGTTCAGATACAGAGATGATCGAAAAGACTGCACTCCTGTGATCAAGCGACAGCAGGGCTGTGAACCAAAGAAGTGCTCCTGAGATCCTTGTTTCATGTATAAGCACCTCACCACCCAGGCACATTAGGAAGCACCTTGTATGTTGGACTGAGAGATTAGTTTCCTTATTTGCCATAAAGCACTTGGAACAAACCATCGCAGTCCTGTGAGACAGAATCATAGAATCATAGAATCACCAAGGTTGGAAAAGACCTAAAAGATCATCCAGTCCAACCGTTCACCTATAACCAGTAGCTCCCACTGAGCCATGTCCCTCAATGATGATGTGACAAGAGCATCTGGTGCTTTTGTGCTCATAAAGGAAGCTTGTGAACAGTTCTGAGCCGGGTGTGGACTTCAAGGGCCTTTCCTTTAATATGCTGATTGGTCATTTAAACAAATGCAGGCTTTGTGTCCAGCTGTTCACCACACATCCCATCTTAGATAAGAAATATTTTTGGGAGCATTTTAGTATTTCCATAGATGTATAAATCAAACGTAAGTTTTCTATTGGATCTCCTCTCCCCATTTCAGCTTTAAAGAGATGTGCACATAGAGTATTACCCAGTGCAGTGTTCTATCTGATTGTGGCCAAAGATTGATTTTCACGTGATATTTTAATCAACGTTGATGGACTTCTCAGGTAACTCATCTCCTGCTGAAGTTTGGAGCTGATGTGAATGCAAGTGGGGAAGTTGGAGACAGGCCTCTTCATTTAGCTTCTGCCAAAGGCTTTCTCAATATTACAAAGCTCCTGATGGAAGAAGGAAGCAAAGCTGATGGTAAGAAAAAGCATTTTAAAAAATCAACTTTATCACTGTATTCTAATAGACAGAGCCAGGCCTTCAATATTGAGTTTTTCTTCCTATCAGTATGTGTGTATTTGTTCTTCTGTTGTCTTTGGACAAGTGAAACAAAAGAAAAAAAAAAAAAAACAACTGAGGAGTTTTTCTTCACTTGCTGTGTGTGCTTGGTTTGAGCTGTCATCTCGTTGCATTCTCTTTCCATTAATAACCCATAGGTGAAAAACAACAGCAAAAAACAAAACTAAGATTTATATACAAGGTAACATTACTGAGACAGTACTTCAGAGAAGACTTGGCTGTGTAATATACATCTCCAGTCAGACAACTTAAATGCGTAGTAAGCTTCCAGTGAATGAGATACAGATGAAGGATTTTAAGCCAAAACTTCAGAGCAGTTGACTTAAAATAATTCAGTTAAGACATTGGAAACGGTTCACAAACAAAATAGGAACAGAAACTGAATCTTTTCAGCTCACCTTTCATTGTGCTGCACAAGCTTCATATCCTTCATTGTGGAATTCTTATTTATAATAAGAGAAAGTGGGCTGAACTGTGACAAAAGTCCTCTTGTTCATTTATGTGTTCTATGAATGTTAGGTATCAATTAAAACAAAATCCATCATCCTGTGTTGTAAGCCATTTTCTTTACCTCCTGTAGGGTATATAATTACAAGAACCTGACACCATTTCTAACTGCAAAATGAAGGATTCACAATTCCTCCCTCTGCCCCTCTTACACCTTGTTGTGTTATAGAAGCTCGTGACCCTGACACTCCTCGTGTCCTTCAGGCCATTCTCTGGGTACACGCTGTAAAGCACTGACATTTATTATTACAAAACTTTGACATTTATTTCCTTCTTATTTATTGCACTTCAGAATGAATCTGTCTGGCACCACATCACAATAAAAAAAGAAAGGCTAACATGTCACATCAATCTATAAAGTGAAAAATAATCTTAGGATAGCAAAATAAAACAATTTCCTTTTTTCCCTCCCTTGTACATAAGGCTGCTAGAAAGGCTGGTGCAGGCAGTTAATGAAATTTGCAGACCGTGAGCTTGGTAGGTTTTTTTGTTTGTTTATTTGGTCAATTTTTTTTTTTTAGTCTGAAACATTATTCAGCATTGGAATTCTCTGTCAGAAGACCTCGGTGAAGTTGTAAGTTCAGTTCAGCTTAAAGGACTGCCCGCTCCTGTGAGCATCCAGCTTTACTTCAGAAAAGTTTAAAACAGCATTTTATTCTAATATTCTTTTCTCCTTTTAGTCACAGAAAATCATGGCAAGGAGGAACCTCAGAATGCATGCGGGGTGCCCTTTGTCCCGGGGAAAGTCAGCTATAGGAAATATTTGGGCCTAGCAGTTGTTAAAAACCTGCGTATTGCAAGGCTGGACACTTCTAATGGGCACAGTACTCCTCAGTAGTCTATTAATATCAAAGGTTTTGTGAATTGAGAACAAAATGTCAGACAAAGTGGACTGGATTTGTCAGCTCTTTCAATTATGACATCAATCAGTTATGCTGCTCTCTAGCTAAATATAGAAAAAAAAATACAATCACAGAAAGTACTTTCAACAAATAGAGATAAGTACAGCTGTGCCTAACCGCAATATTCTATGTCTCTAATTTTGCCCATTCTAACATATAATTCCATGTTGTCTGAAATAACACTCCCATCCTCTGAAATATGCAGTGAGGAGTGTTAAGCACGCATATAATCATCCTCAGAGGGGAAAATAAATATTTAACAGAATGGAAACTCTGGAAATCCAGAAATTTCAATGAATTCTCCCTTTCCTTTTTTACTTTTCATGTTTTATGTATATATATTTTAATAGTGCCCATGAAAAATATATCCTACTGTGTCTCCTTCATTTTGTTTAAATGCATTTTCTCACTGCGCAGCTGATTTTATTCAGCTGTTGATATTCTAAGAAGATAATATAGTGCTTAAAAACAAGTACATTTGTACGTGTATCCTGAGTTTGCTTAGCACTGTACCGTACTGACAGCTTTCTAAAGGTGACAGTAAGTCTTGTTCCATTCCTGAAAGTCTGCATGAAAACATTCCGTCCTGGAATAAGGCAGTTATATACTCTAAGCCCAGAAAATTGTCTGGATGATGCACTGCAGATGACCCTAAATAGTGCCATTCTGATGTGTAGCAGCTCGCAGAATTTTCAGTTTTAAAGAAATAGAACCATCAGTACTTTAAGACGTTTCATAATATATTTGCAACATACATAAAGCTTTACTAAATATTCAGAACAGCTTCTGCTAAATATAAAATACTTCCTTTGCTCTCTTTCTGGGTGCGATGACAGTGAATGCCCAGGACAACGAAGACCACGTTCCTCTGCACTTCTGCTGTCGATTTGGGCACCACGAAATTGTCAAGTTCTTACTGCATAGCAGCTTTGAAGTCCAGCCCCACGTGGTTAACATCTATGGAGACACACCGTTACACCTGTGAGTCATGGGAGGAGCTCCAGTTTTCACTGTTAGGGCCTAACTGAAAAGTTGGCACCGTTAACAACCCTTTATCTCCAGTGCTTGTTACAGTGGGAAGTTTGACGTGGTCAAGGAAATGATCCAACTCTCAGGAACAGAAAGTCTCACAAAGGAGAACATCTTCAGTGAAACGGCTTTCCACAGGTGAGGTGCCTAAAAACACCATTACAACAGAGTGACACATGAAGGTGCATGCAACACAACGACCAAAAAGAATCACAGAACGGCCTGGGCTGCAAAGGAGCACAATGCTCATCAGTTCCAACCCCCTGCTGTGTGCAGGTCGCCAACCAGCAGCCCAGGCTGCCCAGAGCCACATCCAGCCTGGCCTTGAATGCCTGCAGGGATGGGGCATCCACAGCCTCCTTGGGCAACCTGTTCCAGTGCCTCACCACCCTCTGGGTGAAAAACTTCCTCCTGATATCCAACCTAAACCTCCCCTGTCTCACTTTAAAACCATTCCCCTTTGTCCTATCGCTATCCACCCTCACAAACAGCTGTCCCCCCTCCTGTTTCTATGCTCCCTTCAAGTACTGGAAGGCCACAATGAGGTCTCCCCTGGAGCCTTCTCTTTTCCAAGCTAAACAAGTCCAGGTCCCTCAACCTTTCTTCACAGAACCAAACGTTCAAGAACCAAATGTCTCAGCAACAACCAGATGAGTGAGGGATAAAGCAAGGAGCTCAGCATGGATAAGAAGTTCACGCCCTGGTATATGGGAGAGGACATGTGAGCTAGGAGGGAGAGAAAGAAATGTAGGAAGGGCATCATGTTCATCAGCACCTCTTTGGGTAATGGCTTCTCCTGCTGTCTGCTTTTGAAGCTGGTGTTGGAGTTCTGCCCAGGAACCTCCTGCATTCCAGACAGTCTGACCTGGAAACGAGGCGGCAGAACAGAGTTTGGTCACAGCGCTGTGAGGCTGCGAAGTGCTGGTTAAGAGACACGCTGGAAGACAGTGCCTTAATTTTGTATACTGTGCAAAATTAATTTATACAGGAATAATTAGAATGCTTATGGGGCAAGAGAAATGAACGTATTTGCTTTTGTGGATTAATCATGCATTTACACATCTCTAAAAGTCCTCTACGCCAATCTCTCTGTCATTCTTCTGAAGTCTTTGGCTACCCAAAGTGCTCACATTCCCATGTGCTGCAACGTTCCCTTTTCCTTCCATTTTTTGCAGTGCTTGCACCTATGGAAAGAACATAGAACTTGTGAAATTCCTTCTCGACCAGAATGTTGTAAGCATCAATCACCAGGGAAGAGATGGACATACAGGTAACATCATCACCTTTATTGTGTGAATCATATACCAGCACCACAAAAAGTGGAAGCTACACACAGTCAGGATTTTTAAGGTAATGAACACAGTAAGTCAATGATCAGCATCCAGTTACCTCTCAATCAAGAGATCTCAATTTTTTTTTCTTTTTTAATTGCATTTGGCTAAAAGGCACAGAAAAATACTAAGAGCTCAGTGATAATAAGTCAAGCTCATTAGCCTGTATATGAATGGCAAAACCTGATGTAAAGTGATTGCCCTGCAGCTGGGCTTCTAAGCAGCCTCAAGAATTGGGCCTCAGTGTTATTCTGCTAGGGCATGTGGGATGCTGTGTCTGAAGGCTGCCCTCCTCATCCAGACAGCAGATAAAGACAAAACGAGTGGCTTCTTTGCTTCTATGAGATTTCCTTGCATACAAAGTTGTTCAATGTGTTCTGCAGGTGGGAGAATAAACACTGTCACATTGTATAGCAGGCAATGGATCGGTTCTTGCAGTGCAAATTTGTTTTCAGCTGTTGCCTCGGGTGTTTGTTCGATAATATATTCCTTTGTCAGGTAAATGGGTCTGTGCTCCATAGGTGTTGGAACAAGTTCTAAGATATGTTCTGACAGCTGTGCTTCCCACACGTCTCTGATGTTCTAGGACTGCACTGTGCTTGCTACCATGGCCATATTCGTCTGGTGCAGTTTTTGCTGGATAATGGAGCTGATATGAATCTGGTCGCTTGTGATCCCAGCAGGTCCAGTGGAGAAAAGGATGAGCAGACCTGCTTGATGTGGGCTTATGAGAAAGGTATTTCTGTTTTCTATGGAAACCTATATAGCAACAGTATGGGCAGGAGATAGGAGTACAGAAGTACCCCTCAGGCCCCATTGGGGTCTCATCAACTCAGCAACTACTTTTCGCTTCCTGGCATGAAGGGTCGTAACAATAAGCCCTGGTGTTTATCTTCTCATATATCAGTTGTACATCAGTTTAATTCAACACAAACTCAAGGACAGCGGTATTTATGTGCTGCTAAAACAGCAATCATAGAGCCTGTTCAGAAAAGGCCTGTGGGATGTGCTTGAGGAGTTTTAATATTATTGTTGAAGGAGGCATTACAAGCAACAATACATCAGGGCCAGCAATCTTCATTTCTTGTAAGGTCAGAACAGGGAATTTTCCCTTGCTGTTATGCTGTGCCACATGCTAGTTGCACACTGGGTTCTGGCAGCAGGACCAGCTGCTGGAGGGGACTCTGTGAGAAGAACCCAGCATTTGAAGGGGGAATGGTTTTAAAGTGAGACAGGGGAGGTTTAGGTTGGATATCAGGAGGAAGTTTTTCAGCCAGAGGGTGGTGAGGCACTGGAACAGGTTGCCCAAGAAGGTTGTGGATGCCCCATCCCTGCAGGCATTCAAGGCCAGGCTGGATGTGGCTCTGGGCAGCCTGGTCTGCTGGTTGGTGACCTGCACACAGCAGGGGGTTGGAACTGGATGAGCAGTGTGCTCCTTTGCAGCCCAGGCTGTTCTATGGTTCTATGACCTGCCCATGTTGGAGCAGAGCCAGCTCCTGCTGCTCCAGAGGGGACCCTCTGCTATGGAGCTGATCTGGGAGTGAGCAATGCTGGGTGCACCTCTGGGGGAGCAGGATGAGGGAAGAGGAAAAACCTCTGCACAACAGCAGTGGGAAAAAATGCAAGTTCAATTTTGACCCTCCAAGGCACTGCAATTCTGTCATGAGAATGACTGTAATTAGTAAAACAGGCTTCAGGGCCCTTTTAGAAACATCACATTGGTGAAATATTCTGCTCAAAACATAGTGAGGAAAAATTCAGCTTTGAAGTGTTTAGAAGAGACTTTTGATCTTTAGCAAGCAGAACTTGGCACATCAGGCATACAGGAGGTGGAGCGCATTATGCTCACACAGCTCTGCTCCTCCCCAGAGGTCAATGAGCACAGCAACTGTCTGCAGTAATACAGAGTGCACATCTTGTGCAGTTTGGGACGTAATGCTGGAATACTTTCAGGCACCATTTTCCCTTGCATGGCTTATTGAAAGCTGTGATCCACCTCCATTTAAGGATTTCTGAAGCAGGTGTTTTTTCTATTGCCACATATCACATTACTGTGAGGCAGACTCACAAAAACAACTTTTTTACTTTTATTGGCTGATATTTTCCTATATTTCTGTAATTAAGGATTATGCTCGTAGATGAACACTGTTTTATCTTCATTTACATGTTTTAGATACACGTTGTTCTGTTTTTATATGTAAAATCCGTGCATTTTGTATAAATGTTTGGGTATTTTAGTGACAATTGAGCTTACCTGCAAGTCCTCATACCTCCTTTCCCAGGTCATGATGCCATTGTGACCCTTCTGAAGCACTACAAAAGGCCTCAGGATGAATCACCCTGTAACGAATACTCGCAGCCTGGAGGAGGTATGGTCTGAGAGGTCGCTTTGATCCCAACTGAGTGCTCTGATCCAAAGAGCACTGAATGCCTGGGAGTGTTCTAATGTCAGGGAGCTTTGGATCAGTTCTGTCTGACACAAAGAAAATCGGTGTCATGAAAATCACCATTTCCCATCTTATGCATTGTCTATTTCTGACCAAATTCTCCCTTTACCCTTAAATAAAATTATCACTTTGTATTGCTCACTAGAAAGAAAAGCTAAAAGCTGAAAGGTGGTAATTCCCCAGCAATTACTTACACCTTTCTACATCCCTAATACTTTGTTCAGCCATTCTCTTCTTGCTGTCTGCCTCCGATAGGTTTTTTTCATTACCAATACTCAGTGGATCTCCATACTTGGTCCCCTTCATATTTTTGTAGATTTGAATGTCTAAGTCTCCCTTGGGAAGAATTTATTACCCTGTTTGCTACAAAGTTATTCATTTTTATTGGCCTCTAAATGCCAATAACACAAGTAGATAAACAAAGCATTTTACAGTGAATTGAGAATGCTGTCTGCAGAGAAGGTAAATGTATTATATACACTGTGTGTTGTCCAGGTCATTGGTTCTTCCTACCATGGAAATGGGAAAAGCCCTACACCCAACAGCAGGGGCTGTCTCCTTCCTACGTTTCCAGCTCTGCAGAGCTGTATCACCTCTTCCAGGTTTAGGCTTAGGGTATCTGGAATGCATGTAAATCCACAGGAGACTGAGTTTATGCATGTATTGGAAATCCATTTGGGTGTTAACACAGCCAGATTTTTAATGCTGATTGTTAGAAATAATTCAGCTTCCACTTAAGCAGAAGAACAAGAAGTGACGGTTTTGGTACACAGACAAATCTGAGGTCTTTTGAAAAATCAAGTCAGGGAACTGAGCAGAGCCATTTGCTGGCAGCCCAGCTATCAGAATTCTTTATCTGATCTGAGTGCCTTTACAAAGCCTGGCTGATACAAAAGACCACAATTTTTGTGTTTGGCCTTTTTTACGTTAGCAAAAGATGGTATTGTTCTATGTCCAGTGCAGCTATAGACAAACTGCTTTCAAGAATTCAGCAATATAACAAGTCACAGCCCTACGTGTGTGTGTTTGTATATATTTCCATCCTGGTGTTTTTGTTGTAGCTTTCCTTTAAGCAGTCACCACCTCGTTGATCTATCAGTATGTTTATCAGTGTGCTTGCACATCAGTATGCTTTGAATCCCACAGAACTAATTCTGTTCTTTTATTTCAGATGGTTCCTATGTGTCAGTTCCATCCCCTCTGGGAAAGATTAAAAGCATGACTAAAGGTATTCTCAATGACCAGGCAAAACTCAGAGCTGTGTATTCCTTTACCCAAGGTGCTGTTCAGCCTAAACGTGCCATGCAAGGCTCACAATTCCTGGGTTTCTTTTTCTTCACAGACGTGACACAGTGCATGGCAGCAGCTGCATTTCCCTGGGATAGCTTTAGGAAACAATTAGTTCAGATGTTGTCTTCTCATTGTCTGCCGAGGTTCTTCGCAGCACAATTCCTATATTTATCTTATTTTAGCTTACATTAATAAATATATATACCTTTTTTGTTGTTTGTTTATTTTGTTTTGGAGAAGAGGATGCTGCTGAAAGCCCCTGAGTAAAATGCCTGAGTGACCTTTACAAGAAAAGTTATTTCCAAAATATATTGCGTTATTCAGAAACAACTCCAGTTAAAACATTCAGATGAATATCCATACTTCAAAATATATCACTTTCTGTGGTCCTTTCAATTTTCCAAGTATTCACTCTGTATCTAATCAAAACCTTCTATCCTTTACATAGCAGCATTTACATGCTCCACTGAGAAATATTCTGATGAATTCTATAGCAATAAACCAAATTGCATTAGCAAGGTAGAGATGTTTGTTAACTAAATTACATTGCAAAATTCAGATTCCAAACGTCACTAAAATGTAGGTGTGGAATAAAACCCACAGTGCAGTAGTGATGAGCACTAAGGATGGAGGGAAAGGAAATTCCTCTCCATGTAAAGGATTTTATGCAATCCTTATCCAGCATGGGCAGAATATGCTCATGGGACAGTGCTCATTGGAGATAAGATTTAAACACAAGGAACAAGGCAGCTGTAAAGTTGCAATTATTTCTTTGTTACTGAGGTTTATTGTGGTTACTGAAAGAAAAGGGTACAGGATTAGCTGCCGACCGATTTGCAGGATGAAAGACAGCACTAACTGTGCAATGCCTTTGTGAAGTTAAATGCTGATATTCTGCACCTGTAACCCTGCGTTTTACCAATAGGTCAAGTGCTTTCTTTTGCAGAAAAGGCAGACGTGCTCCTCCTCCGTGCTGGTTTGCCATCGCACTTCCATCTTCAGCTCTCTGAAATAGAGTTCCATGAGATCATTGGCTCAGGTACCAGGAATAAGGAAGCCCCCGTTCTGAATGTTTCATGTTCGGAAGGAGTATCTTTACCCTTATTTATCTTAAAACATTTCAGGGTCTTTTGGAAAAGTATATAAGGGGCGATGCAGAAATAAAATCGTAGCAATTAAACGGTAAGCTTACCAGACTTTCTTTTTGTTTGGCTAATCAAATAGTCTGAAGTATTAAAAAAATATATATAAGACTTTATGATACGCTTGTTTTACTGACTTCTTTCATGTCAATTCTAAGCTATCGAGCCAACACCTACTGCTCCAAGTCTGATGTGGACATGTTTTGCCGTGAAGTTTCCATTCTCTGTCGACTGAATCATCCATGTGTCATCCAGTTTGTTGGGGCGTGTTTGGATGACCCAAGTCAGTTTGCTATTGTCACTCAGTACATTTCTGGAGGGTCGCTCTTCTCCCTGCTTCATGAACAAAAGAGGTATTCCATGTGTTCTTTGCAAGGACTTGTACAGAATTTGGAAGACAAATGCATGTGTACTGATGTGAATCCTTTTCATCTTGGATTAAAATAATGGTAAAAGGAACACAATTGGAAAAAAAAATGGCTTTGATTCAGAGTATTGGGTGAACAAGGGAAATTAATGTCATCAAAAAATTTTAGTCATTTTGTCCTATTATGTACATTTACAATACATTATGTAACACTATTTTGTATTTAAAATGTTGGCAAAGTTTCATAATTTTGAGATAAGAATGACTTGCATATAGCTTTTGTCTGTTTATTAACTTTGAATAATACTATATTTTTTCTTAACATATAGAACTCTTGATCTGCAGTCTAAGTTGATAATTGCTGTAGACGTCGCCAAAGGAATGGAGTACCTCCACAACCTCACACAACCTATCATACACCGTGATTTGAACAGGTAAATGTCTTTCTTTGTTCTAAAAAGCCAGGGAATGTGAAACCTCAACGCAACACAGTGGTCTGCAGTCTCACCTGTGTGGTGAGACTCACTGAGACGGGAGGAGCTCGAAGGAAGGAAGGTTTGCTTGCATCAGTTGGACTCGATAGTTGGGCATGATACTTTCACATTTACTGGAGGCTTTAATCAATTGAAATTGAATGACACGCAGTGGTCAACTTCTGTGATTCTGTGCAAATTCTCGTTGTTTATTCCTTTGTTTATTTATTTCACTGACAGATTTCTTATCAGGAACTTGCAAAATGTTTACACCCTATTTGCATATATTAATCCTGCATATATTAATCCTGCAAGATAAACAATATATGCAACGTACTGTATCCCCCCAGTAGAGTTTTTTTTAGTCTAAGGCATTAATTAATTATTTTCACCAGCTTCTGTTCCTCTCAAAATTAGGGACCTCATTTAAAATAGTCCCCCTAAGGTCAATAATAGACTCCCCTCCCTTCTGTCTTACCTGCCTGTCCTGACAGAGGAAGGACATCAGATGAGCCTGATGAGCACTTGTCCCACGGGGGAGACAATCAGCCCTCCTGATAATCATACCCAGCTGGTATGATTAACTGCTGAACACTTATCACAGTCACACATCAGGTAGATCTCAGCCCAAGTTTCAGCTAACAATGTCACTGACAAGGAGGAGAGAATCTACATGAGAGCAGTTATCCACATTTCCCTCTGGAAGTGAAACTGAATTGAAAAATAGTTTTTATGGGAACTTCCTGAGTCACAGCTGCTGAACTGTAATTTTCAGTGAAGGACGAAACTGTTAGAAAACGGTGCTTTCTTACATTTGGCACACTGATGTTTAATACTTGTTAGAAACAGGAAACATCTATACTGAGAGGATTTTTTGTGTCAAGTCCATATCAGAAATCACTTCAATGAGCCATTCTGTGCTAAATTCTGCTTTGGTAGTAGACTAACCTATAGGTTTATACAGAAAAAAGCAACCAGACAAAGAGAGCTAGAGCTGAACAGCTGTTGCACATTTTAGCCACAATGGATTGCTTGGAAACAGCTCCTTCACGTATACATACAATCACTGTGACAAGAAAGCCTCCACTGAAAGAATTTTTAAAAGTAGGATGAGTTACAAAGTGCATTTTCTTCAGTGTCAGACAAATGTCTTCATTCCCCTTTAGTTTCACTGCTTGTTTTAAACAACATTTCAGAAGTGTTCATTTTGTTTAGATCTCAAGTGACCAGTCCTGCAGAGTGGTGCTGATAAAATAAAGAACTTTCCCACATCTTGCTCCAAGTTTCCATTTCCTAGTGATACTGACAGCTGCATTGAAAGATTACCTGTGAAACGCTCATCCTTTTGGGGAAAGGAGATGATTTTTTCCCCTTGCTGAGTGAAGTAAATTAATTGTGAGGCTGTGCCTAGTTCAGGGTTCTGGTATCAAGCTTTGTAGGAAAAAAAAGAGTAAGAAATCCATTTTCTGGACGTTGGCATCTTCAAGAGAACAGTGTAGCAGAGTTCCCTTTCTTGCTTCCAGTACAATGCCAGCACTACAAAGGACACCTGTAAATTAAGGGGTTTCAAATGTAACATCTGTCCTCTCCAAATGAAAGCTTTCTTGAGTATTGAAGCTTAACATACAGTGAGTAGAGATGGATAGATACGTGTATGAGAACAGTCACAGAAGTGCAAGCCAAAGCCATCTAACTCAGCTCTCTGACTCTGCCCTTCGATGACGCCAACTGTTGCTCCTTCATTCCTGTCTCCCCATCTCACTGCTTCTCCTCAATGCAGAGGAGAATACTGCCATATGCAGCTTGTCATTTTGGAGACTTATTCTTAATAGTGGAGTCCTGCACGTAATTCATTGGTTTCTTTTCTTGTCCATGAGATTTCCCACACAGACAAACATGTTTTATTCTACTGTTCTGGAAAGATGGATGCAAATACTCCTTTAAATCAGTTTGTTTATTTTGGTGTTTCATTTTAATAACATTGTGTCCTCTAATAACTAAATTTCCCTTCCTTTAATGGTTTTGTGTTTTTTGCGTTTCTAAGAGCTAAGATCCAGACAAAGGCTGATATCTGAGTTCTTGGTGTATACAGAAAAAAATCTGTTCTCCATTTTAGTGAAAATAGTCTCATGCTGTGCATATTCCAGAGAAGATTAGTGAAATACCTGACAGTATCAAGTCGTGAGGGTTTTACATAAAAGTACATCCTCTTGGTGAAGACAAAACATACTTCTTAGTTCTGCAGGTCTTTAAATCAGAAATTCTGCATGGGAATTTTAGGGCTTTGCTGTTACACAGATCAGCTGTAGGCTGTTTGAACACACAACGTTCTGCCTTTGATTATTATCATTTTGCTTTTACACGGCCTCCCGTATAAGTCGTGAGCTTTAAGGTGGGCATTCAGTTCTTCAGTTCCAGCCCAAGTCAGGAATGCTGGCAGCTTCTAACCATGCATCCTTTTGGCAATGACTCTTAGCCCATCTCGCAGTACCAGGTCTGGATTAAGAGCAGACGGAAACTGCTGATACTAAAAGCCTGTTCAGTGAGGAAGAACTTGGCACTGAACAGAGATTTTTCTACCTTAACCCTCCTTCCCCCCCCCAAAAAAAAAACTATATATACACACATATATATGCATATATATATATATATATATATATATATATATATATGTATGTATGTATGTATAGCTGTTAACAGCAGCATGGCTTCACCAATCCTAAATACATGAAAATGTTGGGGGAAAATCTGGTTTAGGCCCTTCTTAGAGTCCAATTTTTAAAGCAAAAGATGGATTCACAAGAATTTGTTGTGCACAGAACAACCTGTCCATCAACCTGCAAAAATGACCAGCAAGAATGGCTACTTACTACCCCATTTTAATTTTCTTATAGACCTATGTAATACAATAAGCCTGGGTTGTGCACCACACATCATTAATGTCTACTACTGTTGTCCTCCTCCTGACACTGAAGATTCCCCTTTCCTCCCCCCACCGTCTCCAACTTCCCACATCTTGAACTTTCCCACTGTGTCTCCTCCACAGACCCACATCCCTGCACCATTTACTTTCAGGCCCAAATGCTTTTATTTTGGACCTGGAGTTCTTTTCTCTGTCACGGCTGAGGCAAAAGCCCCACACCCAAATGCTACAGTCTGGGTGGCTGTTTAAGGACGGTGAAGATCCAAACCACATGGCTCATCTTCGTGCCTTCTCACTGCTGTTGCCCAAATAGTTCTTCAATGAAGGATTTTTAAATAATATTTTCCACACCCAAAAGGGAGTCTCACTAAAGAGCCAAAAAATATATCACTGCCTCACAGAACTTATGTCAGATCACATTAGCGAGGGTCAGAAGATAAATTTGCTGCAAGGACATCAGCGTGGTTGATGTGTAGTGCTGATAGTAGCTTAACTTTTTAGTATGAGAGCAAAAGTCGTGTTTTCAGCATGAGTCCCAGTCAGCCCACAGACACAATTACTGTATGAAAATCTTCATCATAATGGCACAGAAAGACTGAGAATGAAATTCTGACCCTCTTCTGTTAAGTTCTGCCAGTAGCTTCACAGGAGTTGTATTTTTTTTTAAACCTTAGATTTAAGGTTAACCGTATGACCTTCTTTGTGAGTTCTGAAATCTAATGCAATGCACATAATGCATTAAATGAATCTGCAACACGTCTTGATGGAACAGAGAAGAAAATGAATCTTTCATGTCTCTACCCTGGGAAAGAGGTTATCCTGCCGTTCTGAGAATAATTGGGAGTTCTATTTTGCTTTCCAGGTCTGGAAAAAGAAGTTCTGACAGCTATCAGCAATGGTGACATGTATCAGCTTATTACTCCTTATATCGAGTCTTACAGTGGTGAGGGATTGTAGTCACAATGATTACAGCACTTTAACAAAAAAAGAGACTATTTTAGTATCAATTTAATTTAAGCCGTCAGAGCTGAACACGGTTGGGCCCAGCCTTTGAGCGACTAACCCTCATCTGATGGCTGCAGCTCTGTGAAAGTTTCTGAGACGGCTTAGTGAGGGAGATGAAAGGGCGGACGGAGGCCTGGTGGTAATGGGGATGGTGTCTGCAGCTGCTCTTTGTTATAAAACCCCCTTAAAATCCTAAAATAGCAGTTGCCTTTCATTACACCAACAGTGTATTAAAGGTAAAGGGTCTTTTCATGGCTGTGTTCTCTGGGGCAGGAGCACGCACTGAATGCGCTTCCTCTGTCCTTGCCCCGACAGCAGAGAATCGCTGTGCCTGCCAGGCCGCAGCACTACTTGCTTTCGCAGCGTTGGGGTGATCACACGCTTTGATTCTTTCATCTTTTTTTCCTTCCACTGCTTCATGAAGAGGTTGATGCTTGGTCTCACCATTTCCAACTGTGTGCGGCCTCAACAGAGGACAATTAATTTCTGATTCTGCTGAGATCATTATTAACCTTTTGTCAGCTCAGACCAGATATATCTTCCCCTATTTCTCACAACAGAGGCTTAGTCTCTTTCTCACCATCCATGGTTTTCAAATTTCCACATGCCATTGAGGCAATAATGGCATTTACGAGTTGTATCTTCTATATACTGTGGGTTACATATTTTTTTACGTTAGAAAAATTAGTAAGTGTAGTGCTCACTGAAGGTACCAGACTGACAGAACTGAGCCTGAGGCTGCCTCCTGCTTCCAGATATGTGCATGCACTCAGCACTGAGATGGGCTGCTCAGCACCTGTTTTTTGGAAGCACTTAGAATGCCATGTCTGGAAAGGGTGAGAGGGCTGATTATCTCTCCATTGGCTTCCCCACAAAAACTGACTCCATGGTTCTGACTAAGCTTATGAGGGCTGCATGTATTCAAGGCCTATCCGAGCCTTGAGCAGATGGAAGTTGAGGCTAGGGCTCAGTACGTCTTCTTCCCACTGAGAAATTGTGGTAATTTTTGTTGCTGCTGACAGAAGCCAAATTT